AAATATAGCTGCGAGCAGCGATGAAGGGCCAAAGCCGGTGGTACCGCCACCCCGGTGCCTTTAGGTAACTAAAGGCACCGGGGTTGCGGTGCCACCGGCTTGGGCCCGTAATCGCTGCTCGCAGCTATATTATATATTTGATATTGGTGAAGTAGCCTATAGCATTGATTAGCTGTGGAGGGAGGGGTGTGGGGATTAAAATAATTCAGCAGAAGTAGGGATGTTTAGACCAGAAGGAAATCCCAGTCCCCCCTGGCAAATCACACTTTACTTAAAACCATGTTTTTAAAAACTCTAGGTTGTAGGGAACAGACCTCTCTGCCATGCGCGCGCACGGTTTGGAGCACAATATCTGTCTCGCATGCACGCTCGCTCTAAATAGATTACGGGATATTTTAACTAATTTACGGTATAACTAGTCGATCACGAGTGGCTCAACAGGTAGATCTATAGATAAACTATATCTTTCAGGAATTTGACCGACCGGGTTGACACTTCAGCGTGAGAAATCGGGGGGGTGGCGTGAGAGCCTGGAATAAATAAATAAAAAAATATATATAGCCTATATAAAACAAAACTGTATGGTGTAACAGAGTTTTAGAGCTAGACAAATCTCTCTGCAATAATAAATATAAAATATACAGCAGACCATGTTTGTGCGGGATTTGAACCTGTGTCATCTTGATGATGAACCATCAGTTCTACCGCTCGGCTATGAATTTTGTTACTGAGAAATAACCAAACGTTTGATTCTCACATGAGCGAGAAAACGTTTTGTCTTTAGCCTGTGAGTGTAGGCCTACTTTAACCTTTTACAGTTTTAAAAGATTATATCTTATCTGTATGACCAACAATTTGTTGTAGGCTTATTTGGAAATTACCATAACTTGTAGTATTTCATCCTTAGGCTACTGTTAATAGACATTAGCCCCACTTACGTTTTGCTAAATGTCCCTTTGCGCCACCTGGCGGTCATTTCGCGTACGACTTTGAAATGCGACTGGTTTATTTTTACCGCGGTGGATGGCTAAAAATGGTATGTGGATGGCTAAAATGTGTGACTAAAAATGTGCTTTTGGCTTTCATTTATATTTTGATTGTTTGTATATATATATATATATATATGTATATGTATATATATATATATATATATATATATATATATATATATATGTATATATATATATATATATATATATATATATATATATATATATATATATATATATATATATATATAATGAGCCTTTCATTCAGGGGTGTCACACAAGAAAGAATGCAAGGACAATATATATATATATATAAATAAATAAATATTTATATACACACACACACACACACACACACACACACACACATATATATATATATATATATATATGTGTGTGTGTGTGTGTGTGTGTGTGTGTGTGTATATAAATATTTATTTATTTATATATATATATTGTCCTTGCATTCTTTCTTGTGTGACACCCCTGAATGAAAGGCTCATTAGTATGCAGTCTGCTCAGGTGAGAACTGCCTAATTATTCATGAGGGGGTTGGGCCGATCCGCCCATCCGCATATTGCCTTTGCAAACAAAAAAATGTTTTTCACAATTTAAAACAATCTATTGTTTTATGTGAATGATTAGCCAGAATGATTTTCAGATCAATTTGAAGCAAATACTCTAGGCGACAACATCCACTAGTCAAAAGTCTTGTGGACAGATATTTAGTATGTTATTTGTGGCCATATATTAGAAAATTTATTTTTTAGTTTTTTCAATAACCACGCATAAACAATATTCTCTCAAAAATACAAACATGTACATACATGTTGCTCACATATAATGGTAGCCCTGTGTGTGCTATATAGAGTGTAATTTCACCTGTGCCATTAATATGTTTATAAGCAACTGAAAAATGCACAAATGTCAGAGCATGCCAAAACATCTCAAGGACCCCGAAAACACCTCAGACCCCAGAGGGTTAATGAAACAACGCTTTTGACTGAATTTTCTGTCAATTATGAACCAATACTTTCCCACCATTGACGTAATTTTCCGTCTTTTCACTGTTCTCACTTTCAACTTTCCGTGTTTTCATGATTATACGGTATTGGGTGCTACTATGCACAAAATGTATCACATTTTGCCATCAAAATAAGGGAAATTAAGCACTTAAAGAAATAATGCCATTAAATGCACAAAATATTGTCTCCTTTTCGGGGGAAAGTATAAAGAATATAAAAAAAGAACACAAAGATATTTATATATGTGTGAATGAATCATCGTTCTTTGTTTTCAGAAAAGAAATTGGCCAAACTCGGTCTGAATCGAATCACTTTGCATTCATTTTTGAGAGTTACTTTGAGAAAATTCAGATATTGCTGTGTGATGTGAAAAGGAATTTAAGTGTCCTTCCGCTCTGTTTTTCTATGTGTGCATGTGCTAGATGGATGTCTTTGACCATTTCGTTATTTTTCAGGTTTAAAAACATTGAAAACGTACGCGAGATTGCTTTGTTCTGCTCAGGTGTACCGTCGCTCTCATTAATCGTTTGGTCCGAAGGGTCTCAAGTCTTATAGAAGTGTGTAATATTTACATTAATGCTAGACATACTCAATAAAATTAACTCTCTCAGAGAATATTTAACATGAGCATATATTGAAAGTGTTTTTGCCAAAAAATCGAATACAGTCAGATGAAATCCTGGAGGAAGTCATGCTGGAAATCGTCACCTCACTGTACGGTTAGTTGCTAGTAGCGCTTGTATTCGAGTGTATCAGACATCAGCATCACTGTCTGAACACATCCAGTGTTTACAAAGAGTCGTTGAGGTCTTTAGCACAGCTGAGATGCTGGGGCTGTTGCGTTCACTCGCTGACAGATGTGATCACACACTCCAGCCCTTGACAGTTTTGTAAGCACTTAGGCAAACGCCTGGAAATTCTGTGAGAAACTGGAGTTAATGGGCCACTACTTTAAAAAGCTCAACATGAAGCATATGTGCTTGTTATCAAAGCTGTTGCTGACTACACTTCATGTTTTCCAGACTCTGAATATGTCTTTTAGTTCAAAATGAAAACTGTCAGTAATTACTCTCCCTCATGTTGTTCCAACCCCGTAAGACTTTCGTTCATCTTCGGAACACAAATTAAGATATTTTTGATTAAATCTGAGAGCTGGATCACTCCTCCATAGGCTTCTATTGTAATTGATATCTGCCAGCCCAGAAAGTTATTAAAAACATCGTTAAAATAGTGACTACAGTGGCTCAACCTTAAGTTTATCAAGCGATGAGAATACTTTTTGTGCTCTCAGATTTCATCCACAATATCTTAATTTGTGTTCCGAAGATGAACAGAAATGAAGTCGCAGCTTGTTATAACAATATGACTTGTGTTTGTTTGCTTGGTTTTATTATACAGTATTTATATGATATTTGTATTTAGAAAATAGCCTTAGATGCTGACATGGCATTAAATAAAACTATCTATCTCTCCATCTATCCATCCATCCATCTATCCATCTATCTATCCATCCATCTCTCCATCTATCTATCTATCCATCTCTCCATCTATCCATCCATCTATCCATCTCTCCATCCAACTATCCATCTCTCCATCTATCTATCCTTCTCTCCATCTATCCATGCATCTATCTATCCATCTATCTCTCCATCTATCCATCCATCTCTCCATCTATCTCTCCATCTATCCATCTCTCCATCCATCTCTCCATCTATCTATCCTTCTCTCCATCTATCCATGCATCTATCTAGCCATCTATCTCTCCATCTATCCATCCATCTCTCCATCTATCTCTCCATCTATCTATCCATCTCTCCATCTATCTATCCATCTATCCATCTATCTCTCCATCTATCCATCTCTCCATCTATCTATCCATCTATCCATCCATCTCTCCATCTCTTCATCTATCTCTCCATCTCTTCATCTATCTCTCCATCTATCCATCCATCTCTCCATCTATCATCCATCTCTCCATCTATCCATCCATCTTTCCATCTATCTATCCATCTATCTATCTATCCATCCATCTCTCCATCTATCTATCCATCTCTCCATCTATCTATCCATCTATCTCTCCATCTATCCATCTATCTATCCATCCATCTCTCCATCCATCTCTCCATCTATCCATCCATCTCTCCATCTCTTCATCCATCTCTCCATCTTTTCATCTATCTCTCCATCTATCCATCCATCTCTCCATCTATCTATCCATCTCTCCATCTATCCATCCATCTCTCCATCTATCCATCCATCTCTCCATCTATCTATCCATCTATCCATCTCTCCATCTATCTCTCCATCTATCCATCCATCTCTCTATCTCTCCATCTATCCATCCATCTCTCCATCTATCCATCCATCTCTCCATCTATCTCTCCATCTATCCATCCATCTCTCCATCTATCCATCCATCTCTCCATCTATCTATCCATCTATCTATCTATCCATCCATCTCTCCATCTATCTATCCATCTCTCCATCTATCTATCCATCTATCTCTCCATCTATCCATCTATCTATCCATCCATCTCTCCATCCATCTCTCCATCTATCCATCCATCTCTCCATCTCTTCATCCATCTCTCCATCTTTTCATCTATCTCTCCATCTATCCATCTATCTCTCCATCTATCCATCCATCTCTCCATCTATCCATCCATCTCTCCATCTATCTATCCATCTATCCATCTCTCCATCTATCTCTCCATCTATCCATCCATCTCTCTATCTCTCCATCTATCCATCCATCTCTCCATCTATCCATCCATCTCTCCATCTATCTCTCCATCTATCCATCCATCTCTCCATCTATCCATCCATCTCTCCATCTATCCATCCATCTCTCCATCTATCTATCTATCCATCTCTCCATCTATCCATCTCTCCATCTATCCATCTCTCCATCTATCCATCTATCCATCTATCCATCTCTCCATCTATCCCCAGTGTGATTCTGCGGTCTGATGCAGTGATGCTTTACCGGGGTGTGAAGTCGCAGCCCTGCTGCATGAAGGCGCCCAGGGAGAACCAGAGACTGTTGAAGATGCCGAACTCGTTGGGGGGCTGGTCGCTGGGCGGACCGTCGGAGCCGTCCTCGGGCTCCTCGGTGTGCCACTCGTACGGGCTGAAGCGGCTGACCAGGAAGAGCACCACGCTCACGCCGATGTAGGCGAACACGATGCACATCCAGATCTCGTAGGCCAGCGGGTCCAGGAAGGAGAAGACGCCGGGTTTGGACTTCTGCGGCTTCTTGATCATGATGGAGATGCCCAGACTCATGAAGGGCTTGGAGAAATCGATCACCTCCTCCCGGACCAGAGTGATTGTTAAAGGGGCCACAGCGATTTCCGCTTTCTGTGGGAGAAAGAAAAACGTTCTGATGTTTCCATTCAGATTATTTGTGACCCTCGACCACAAAACCAAGTCATAAGGGTCAATTTTTGTGAAATCGAGATTTATATATCCTCCGAAAGCTGAGTAAATATGCTTTCCATATGGTTTGTTAGGGCCAGGACAATATTTGGCCAATTGATACAAATCTGGAATCTGAGGGAGCAAAAAAATCTAAATATTGAGAAAATCGCCTTTAAAGTTGTGCAAATGAAGTCCTCGATGTTGCTGCATCCACTCACAAAAATAAATTTGATATATTTACGGTTGGAAATTTACTAAATATCTTGACGGAACATGATCTTTACTTAATATCCTAATGATTTTTGGCATAGAAGAAAAATGGATAATTTTGACCCATACAATGTGTTGTTGACTATTGCCACAAATATACCCGTGCGACATGTGACTGGTTTTGTGATCCAGGGTCACATTTGTTGAAGCGTACCTGCAAAAATGAGTGTTTATTGAGTTAGGTCTACTTTTTGTCGTCATAACTGGAGAAAAAAACACAGATTTCAATGTCTCATGTGAACATGGTTTTCTAGCATTGCTTGTTTTTTTTTTAATAGTCAGATGATTTTTCAGTGTTTGTTGTGTATTTAAAAGGATATTTCAGGAAAAAATTCTGAATTTCTGTCATTGTTAACTTTGCCCTTATGTCAGTCTAAGCCCAACAGAAGATATTTTGAAGAATACAACTTTGAACCCCATTGACAGAAAGGCAAAAAGGTTTACAAGGCGAGTAAATGACAACATTAATTTTTGGATGACTATCCATTTAAACACACACACACATATATATATTATACACACTAATATACACTACCTTCTTAAAGTTGCATTTATTTAATCAAAAATACAGTGCAAAACAGTAATATTGTGAAATATTACAATCCAAAAGAACTGTTTTCTATTATATTTAAAAATGTAATTTATTCTTGTTTAATCCTCCTGTTATCAAAATGATCAACGTTGACCGTTTTTGTTGCTTAATATCATCCATTTTTCACGATTTTATGATGGATAGAAAGTTCAAAAGAAAATGTACAATAGCAAAAACAGCAAGAGAGAGAGAGTCTTTTTTTTTTTACTGGGACAAAATGCTTTAAAACTAGAATTTTTTTTTATGTTTTGATATTGTAGAGAGATGAAGGCAGCAATTTTCCCACTGACCCGAGACACCAACTGATAAAAAAAAACAAAAAAACTACATATATCCGTCTGACCCATGAATGTTTAAGGTCATGAGGAACCCTGTATTGTGGTGAAGACCTGGTAATATCAGATAAAGGCAGAGAGAGAGAGATGGGTTGTTAAACGTAAAGTGCTTTAAGTGAGCCAATTTCACAGTAGCTGTACTGTGGCTTCAGCGTGGCCAAACACAGTCTTTATAACAGCGTTACTCTCCACTATCCTGCCTTTCTTAACGGGTCAAATGTTAAAATACCTTCTGGAAAAAAAATTGGAGCAAAGCACTTCCCCTTTTTATAACCCATCTACTGTAGTGAAGCGTATTGCGAGTTTAAAAGGCCAGGATTCAAGCAGTTGTAAACGGAGGCGGTTTTATCAATGAATGGAGGCTCTTGGGCATCCGTACGGTAACATTTACACTGGCTCAGTGGTTTAACACCAGTGAAAGGTCACAGAGGAAGTATAGGGGATGTTTTGGCCCTCCTGGTCCTGTAGGAATACAAGAAGTGGTTTCGCTGCTAGATTTAATTATAGGCCGCTGGCAATAGAGGGAACGAGAGAGGTCAGATCCCAAATCTGTGAAGCTCGTCTGCGCCTCGAGACACGGGATGGAGAGTCTGAGGGTTTTATTCAGAAATGCTCTTTTTCTAACAATCCCTTAAGGATCCCAAAGCTCATAATTAACTTTTATTTTCTGCAATTTCACAAGCTGGAACTGAGGACCAGATTTGGCTCATGTAATTTCATGTGAGTAATGTTTGAATTCGCATGTCCTGTAAAGTGTGTGTGTGTGTGTGTGTGTGTGTCAGTCATCCTCACTCCCACTGAATGAGTAGAAAGAGAGAGAGAAAGTGTGTGTATATGCTTTTTCAGCGGCCTTGGTTCTGAAAATGTATTTCCCATTTATTTTCTCTAAACTTCCTTAATGAGGAGTTTTAAGCCTTGAACCAAACGCCGCTTTTAGATTAATCAAAACATGTCGTGCAAAGCAAACAAATAAATAAAAGGATTCGAAAATTGTCAATATTGCAAGACTGTATGTACCGGATTTTCCTTGAATATTTACTACATATTTGCTTAAAAAAAGCTCTTTTGACATATTTGTCAGCTTACTTTTTAGATGTCAATGAATGAATGTTAATGAAATTGTCATCAAGGAAAAAACAACAATTATACTTTCTATCCTTTTTTGCGGAAAACAAAAATCAGTTACAATTATATACTGAACGAAACTGTTTTGTGTAACATTTTAATGTTAATAACACTACTAATAATTTAAAAATATATATATTATATATAAATATATGGTATATTAAAATATAAATAAAATAATATAATGTGAAAAATCTTATTTCCTTTTATATTTTTATATTAACATTTACAATATAAAATAATGTTAATATAAAAAGAAATATTTACAAATATTTCATATTGACGTTATTTAAATATATTTAAAAAAATACATTATATATAAATATATTATATTTATATTATATATAAATATATGGTATATTAAAATATAAATAAAATAATATAATATGAAAAATCTTATTTCCTTTTATATCTTATATTAACATTTACAATATAAAATAATGTTAATATAAAAAGTAATATTTTACAAATATTTTATATTGGCGTTATTTAAATATATTGCACTAACGTTACATAACATAAAATATGTTAATAGAAAAATAAAGTAAAAAAAGCGTGTTAGTTAAATTAGTGTAAATTCATGAACTGTACTGACTGATTTACTAGCAATGTTTCCATGTTGAACTGCAAAATCAGTTCAACTTATGCGCAAAAATTGGAATTATTGCGTAAAATAATAACATTACGAATAAACCATATGCTCAAGAGAACAAGTCGTCACTTCCTGGGAAATTGGCGTAAAATTTCTGTAATAAAAATGGAAGTTGCTTTTTTCTTCCATCATAAATCATTCTGATGACCAACGTTTGAGATGCTGCGATGCGATTGGTCCGCTGGTTACTCCAGTTATCCAATCATGTCCTCTGTTTAAATTTGAGTTTTTCCATCTAATATTTATATTTATTCTATTTATTTATTTATTTTATCTCAGTTTTAGTCATTTTAGTACTTATTAAACGTATTTATTTCAATTAGTATTTATATTTTATACTAATTATACTGATTTTATACTGATACAGGAAAAAAAATTCAATTGAAATTTTTTTTTTATTTATACTGATTTTCCATCTAATATTTATATTTATTCTATTTATTTATTTATTTTGTCTCAGTTTTAGTCATTTTAGTACTTATTAAACGTATTTCAATTAGTATTTATATTTTATACTAATTATACTGATTTTATACTGATACAGGAAAAAAAATTCAATTGAAATTTTTTTTTTATTTCTACTGATTTTCCATCTAATATTTATATTTATTCTATTTATTTATTTATTTGATCTCAGTTTTAGTCATTTTAGTACTTATTAAACATATTTATTTCAGTTAGTTGCCAATTTTCCTTAAATTTAAAAAAAAATAAAAATATATTTATTCTATTCCAGCTTTAATTCAATTACACAAACGAAACTGTTAATAATTTTTGTTTTACAATAAAAACAGCAAATATATTAGAAGGATCATGTGACACTGAAGACACTGATGAGTAATGATGCTGAAAATTCAGCTTTGATCGCAGGAATAAATTACACTTTACTATATATTCACCTACAAAACAGTTATTTTCAATTCCAATAATATTTTTACAATATTCGCTTTCAATATTCATTCTGATGACCAACGTTTGAGATGCTGCGATGCGATTGGTCCACTGGTTACTCCAGTTATCCAATCATGTCCTCTGTTTAGGCAAAGTCACATGAGTTTAGTTGTTGTTGTTGTGCATCAATTGACTTATTTGGTAAATGTGTTTCTAACATAGTTTATGCGCATGTCTTCTAAATGTATCCACCTCAAATGAGTTTTTCATGCAAATGTCTAGAGTTTATGCGCATCTTAAAACTTTCAAGTCCATCCAGCATTTTTTTTTTATGCGATATCCCAAAATGCACATAAAAATAGTTGTATGGAAACATAGCCAGTGAGAGAACCAGCTCATGAGAGTAATTTGTGTGTGTATCCTTCTACACCATTCACTCTGTACGTTTGTTTTTGTGTGCAGCCGGAGAAGAAAACACAATTATTTCAATTATGTATTCATTCTCAGTACCAGACTCTGTGTGTGATCATATTCATTGCTGACTGCAAGGACAATATCATTTCGTCTGTAGATTATGCTGTTCACTTAATGTCTTTTATGAGGAAATTAATGAACTATTCCTCTCAATATTTGATGATGTAATCATAACAGTCTGGGTTTTTGGGTCATTTCTTATGTAAGTGTTAGGGATGGTGTATATAGTTATGAATCTGCGCATGCATATTCCCTGATATCAGTGAAGTTTATGATGGGACTTCTCCAGGAATTGTGCATTTAAAGTGATCATGACAAGGATTTTTTTTCTTCTATATGTTGCTTGAGGTTCATAACTTATAATGTAAATGAAGATTTTTGTTTTGCACAAAAAAACAATACAGGTGAAACTCGATAAATGTGAATATCGTGCAAAAGTTAATTTATTTCAGAAATTCAACTTAAAAGGTGAAACTAATATATTATATAGAGACTCATTACATGCAAAGTGAGATATTCCAAGCCTTTATTTCTTATGATTTTGATGATTATGGATTACAGCTTATGAAAACCTTTTCACAATATTCTAATTTTGAATTTGGGGTTTTTCATAAGCTGTAAGCCATAATCATCAAAATCATAAGAAATAAAGGCTTGAAATATCTCACTTTGCATGTAATGAGTCTATATAATATATTAGTTTCACCTTTTTAGTTGAATTACTGAAATAAATGAACTTTTGCACGATTTTTGCAAATTTTTATTCGAGTTTCACCTGTATGTAAGTGGAAATAAAAGATGTTTAAACTGGACGTGTCAAAGTGATCGCTCTTTCACTCTTCTACTTGTCCAGTTGTCGACAGACTCAAGCGTCTGATGTCAGAAACTGAAAACTGTATCAGTGTAGACAGCGCCAGTCATTATAATGACTTCTGTTCGCTTTTTGACGTGACGCTCACATCCAGCGTAGACAAATGTCAGCCGTTAAAGTCCCCCTGTGGTGAAAATCCAGTTTTTAATGTTGTGTCTATGTGGTGTTTTTAATACGCTTTAAGACACACCATGTGTAAGTTCATAAGTCGACAGCATTGCTGAGTATTTCCTCCTTAAAACTGCAGTGAACCAAAGACAGTCTCAAAAACACGGTTTGAAATCGCTGGTGTTTCTGACGTCACAAACGACCTTGTAACCAATCAGATCAACGTGTGATCATCAACCAGTGGATCTCTAAGCTGAGCGAATGAGTGGAGGCGGGGCTCATTTGCATATTCATAGAACCACGCATACTAAATGAGGGTGTCGAGTTACATTCAAGCTATTTTAAAGCATGAAGAAAACTTTTAAATATGTCATTTTGGTGAAGTTTTAAGGGATTAAATGATTGCAGGGGGACTTTAGTATCAAGACGAGACGTTTTTGGAGCTTGATTAAAGTATAACTCCCAAAAATGACTACACTTTCAAGCCCAAGAAAGTTAGTAAAGGCATTGTTAAAGTAAAACATGCGACTCCAGTGGTTTAACCTCAATTTTATGAAACGACACGAGAACGTTTTCATCTCTCAGATTTCATTAAAAAGATCTTCATTTGTGTTCTAAAGATGAACGAATGACTTTTTAATGAATTAATGACAGACTTTTCATTTTTGGGTCAACTAATCATAAATAAATGCTTTGTTTATAAAGAGGAGGATGCTTTGTACCATCTTATACATCAAAAACCTCTTATATATCAAGGCAAATTTGATTTCTTACATCGCGACCCTTTAAAATGTAACGGATAATGTACATTTAACCAGTCATTGCTGCTTAATAAACCTAGACGGGTGATGAGGATGATCCTGAAGGGTTTTGTTTTGCCATATTGACTGCACTGTGAAAAACTATTACCATTTAAAGGACTTTTTTGGGGGTAATTTAGTAAATTACAACAATTTTAAACTGTTTGATCTGTCAAATTGTTTTCATTTTATTGTATTATTCCGGCAACCACAGCTGCCAATTTTCCTGTAAAACCAACTTTTTTTTACTTGCTAAATAAATAAACAATGGAGATTAGCTGGAATTATTTGATTATGTGTAAAATAAGGACACAATGAAAGACATGTAACCCGAACTGGTTATCAATATCAATAGTGAAATACACAGTTTCATCACACAGAAATATTTGCAGTTGACCAAGCCAGCGTTTAATATTTTGTTTAACACTCTCTGTTCTCTCGTGAAAGTTTTATCCATTATCGTTAAATCCATAAATCTTTCTGTGGAGATTTTGAATGGCATTGTGATGTTTGCGAGCCTCTCGTGGAGCTCTTCAGAGAGTGTATCGGCGGATGAGAGTGTGTGTTTAATGGGGCAGAGAGATGTGCATCTGTCCTCTCCCTGAGCTCATTAACACTCGACGGCAGGAGCGTTTGCCTTCCGCTGTTGGAGTCGCGGCGAGATGTCAGAGAGGCCACGGATACCAGTGACTGATTTTATGTACTTGCGCGCTGAATAATGGTGTTAATACTTCTGGCTGCGTTTAAAAGAGAAAACGCCTCGAGTGTAAACCAAACGCCGCGTCCATCCCTGACAGTGACAACAGTCTTAGACACCTTCAGTTCTGGAGGGGGATTTACATACGGAAAGTACAGAATGTGCTGTTGGTTCATGGAAACTGATTTCTTTCTCTGCCTGATTTTCTTGTTTATTACGTGTTTTGTCTCATTGGTGGGAAATTAAAGATGCAAATTGACTTAAATTCAATAGTTGTCTGCAAACAGGCTAATCTAACTAATCGGCTTTTGTAAACATGTGAAATGCTTTACAATATGGTGTTATTTTGGTATTATTTATAGTGTTTATTGATGCTTTGTATTAGCAGTTTTCATTTTAATTTGAGTAATTTTATGTGCTTTTGTATTTATTTATTTGATCTCAGTTTTAGTCATTTTAGTACTTATTAAACGTATTTATTTCAGTTAGTTACCAATTTTCCAGCTTAAGTTTTTCCAGCTAATATTTATATTTATTCTATTTATTTATTTATTTTATCTCAGTTTTAGTCGTTTTAATACTTATTAAATGTATTTATTTCAGTTAGTATTTATATTTTATACTAATTATACTGATTTTATACTGATACTGATTTTTTTTCCAATTTACATTTTTTTTTATTTATACTGATTTTCCATCTAATATTTATATTTATTCTATGTATTTATTTATTTTATCTCAGATTTAGTCATTTTAGTACTTATTAAACGTATTTATTTCAGTTAGTATTTATATTTTATACTAATTATACTGATTTTATACTGATACTGAATTTTTTTTCAATTGAATTTTTTTTTAATACTGATTTTCCATCTAATATTTATATTTATTCTATTTATTTATTTATTTTATCTCAGTTTTAGTCATTTTAGTACTTATTAAACGTATTTATTTCAGTTAGTTGCCAATTTTTCTTACATTTAAGTTTGAGTTTTTCCATCTAATATTTATATTTATTTGTATTCCAGCTTCAATTCAATTACACAAAACGAAACTGTTAATAGTTTTTGTTTTAGTAAACAATAACAACAGCAAATATATTAGAAGGATCATGTGACACTGAAGACTGGAGTAATGATGGAGTTTGATCGCAGGAATAAATTACACTTTACTATATATTTACCTACAAAACAGTTAATGATGGCGGTATGGAGTTGTAACTTATGCAATTTTTATTAATTAATATTGTCTGGTTTGTAAATTTGTTGTATGTTAACTGTATACTGATGGCAGCATGGGTGATGGCCCAACACAAATTTCCCTTCGTGGGACAATAAAGTTTTTACTTACTTTACTTATTTTCAATTCTAATAATATTTTTACAATATTCGCTTTTTTACCGTATTTTTAATCCGATAAATGCAGCCTTGGTGAGCAGAAGAGACTTCAAAGACATGAGAAACTCTTTTCAGCATTAGTTTATATATGCATGCATCACACACACACACACACACACACTCTTCTCACCCCGTACACCAGCTCCCCAACCATGCCGTTCCAGATCTTGGTCTCTGGATCCCTGGCTCCGTACTTCCCATCCGGAACAATGGAGATCTTGTACTTGATTCCAATGTGCTTGGCGATCTCGGACGCCAGATCCACGCAGTATCCTTCAAACTGGTCGTTCCCTTCATACATCTCCCAGTTCTTCTTGAACATCACGTACGGTCCTTCCTAAACACACACGGCACACACACACACACACACACACACACACACGCACGCGTACAGAGAGAGGTGGGTAGGGATGGTCAAGCTGACCTCAGTATTAAACTGTATTATTAATTACACTTTTAAAAATGAAGGTTCTTTGGAACACCAACTTCTTTTTACACTTTTAAAAATGAAGGTTCTTTGGAATCTTGGAACTTTGGAACACCGACTTCTTATTACACTTTTAAAAATGAAGTTTCTTTGGAACTTTGGAACACCAACTTCTTTTTACACTTTTAAAAATGGTTCTTTGGAATCTTGGAACTTTGGAACACCGACTTCTTATTACACTTTTAAAAATGAAGTTTCTTTGGAACTTTGGAACACCAACCTCTTTTTACACTTTTAAAAATGGTTCTTTGGAATCTTGGAACTTTGGAACACCAACTTATTGAGAACCATTTTCGGTTTTATAGGGTTCTTGAGAGATTAAAAAGTCCTTGATGTTTCATTTTAGTTTCTTCACATCAGTTTCCTGGTTTTTAGATTCTTTAAAGCACTAGTATAGATGGTTATCTAAAGTGTTATATCATACAAATCCATTTATTATTCAATTTAGTAACATTAATACTCACTCATAAACATTACATGAGTTTGTTGGGATATACCAGGGGCGTCATGCAAGCCAAAATTCTGGGGGGGCACAATCTGAGACGTTGCAATTGTTTTCTGACGGGTGATATGGATCATGTTAGGAGGGGTCAGGGGGTTTCTCCCCCTGAAAATTGTTAAATTCTGGCTGCTAAACATACCATTTCAATGCAGTTTGGGAGGGACAGAAATACCTTAACGGAGCTAGCAGCAACACTCCTCTATCTGATTCTGAGGACTAAGTTAAAGTATCTATTTTGTAAGTTTATGTAAAAGACAGGTTGATGAAAGAACTATAAGCTCAAATTCAAAAGCTTTTGAAGTCTACTTCATTAAAGCATGTTTACACACACACTTACTGTACACTTAGGCATACTACACATGATTTTAAAAACAGTACCATTGCAGTTTTTATGTTATGATTTTAAATTGGTATGTGACCTAAGAACGATCTTACATTAAAGGTAGCCTACATAAAGGTGCTGAGGTCTGACTTTGTGGTGCTCTGAAATTAAGTTATTTTAATATTAATATGTGATGAAGGACTTTGAAAGAAGTTTGACAGATTTCAGTGCTGAATAAGGTTAACACTACCCCGTTTATTTGAAAATGGTTAATATTTGACAGAAATGTAGAAAAGTAATCAAATCAAATGCAATATGTATAGCGATCTGTATAACAACTATGCTGTAGGGATTTGGGGGGTAGTCCTACTATGATATTAGACTACATTAAAAGATAATGAATTTCAAACCTGAACCAAACATATTTTTTAATTCAAAGATCAAAGTCTGTCATTAGTCTTTAGTCTGCCAAAAAAAAAAAAAACCATTAAAATCATGAACTCAAATGTCATTGTGAAAAAAATATGTGTTACTGTTGTAACAGTGTGTAGGCTAAACCAGACCTTTCAGGCTATAGCCTAATGGTGTGTTCACACCGAACGCGAATTTAATTATTTGCGCGAGTAGATTACATACAAAGTCAATGCAAAGACGCGAATAGACGCATCATTCGCGCCGGGCGTTGCGAATGACGCGAATTGGGCGACGCGTTTGCCGCGAATGTCTTCCGCGCAAGTTGAAAAATTTGAACTCGAGCGAATGTTCAAGCGTCTAACTAAACGCGATAGACGCGTATTTGACGCTCTATTCGCGTTCGGTGTGAACACACCATAACGCTAATAAGCCGTATGGCAAAATTATTATTACAACTAAATTGTCGGTCATTAAATAGGAAAACTAAATAATTTTGTAGATGATTTGCTTTGTGTAGGCCTAACCCGACATCAGACATTATAAGGCCCGGACGAAGTTTTTTTTTGCACACAGTGACGCGACAAATCAATCACTCCTTTAATGCTGCGTTCACACCACACGCGAATAGCGCGTCAAATTCGCGCCTACCGCGTCTAGTTATAGCCTACGCGTGAACACTTTGAATCCATTCGCGCGTCAAGAGCAAATGACGCGCGTAAAAAAACTAAAGTTTAGACTGGCTGCCTGCACATTCACTGTCCTCGCGGCTGCGGCTGCTGCAATTGGAAGAGGCTGGCTGCAGGACGACTCAACTTCCACGGACAGTTTTTAATATTTTATATCAAGATTTTGCTTTAGTATAATTTTCGGGACAATTAAGGCCGGTTTCGGGATTCGGGACAACAGCTTAGATTTCGGGACTGTCCCGAATTTTTCGGGACTTCTGGTCACCCTAGGGAGGAAAAATCTGAGGGGGCACGTGCCCCCTCACTTTGAATGGGCATGACGCCACTGTACATTATACATACATGAGTGTTCCCTAAATGCAGTGCACTACTCATGTGTACACTCATTATGGGCCATACATGACCAACAAGATTACCACTGTAAATCAAAACATTTATTTGAACCATTTCAACACATATATACAACTGTCTGTGAGAATTATGAGGGCATAATGCAAAACATGGATTTCATTAAAGCCATTAGAGTGCAGTCACTGTAATCAACTGGTCAATGATGATCAATGATATAATTACAGCAAATTACATTAAACAAGTGCTTATATGAAAATAAAATAAAGAGAACATCCATCATTCTAAACATTAAAGCACCGCTTAGACACACAAACAACACTGTAAATGTCAAAGTACATTCATTTGATACTCAATTATTTTACAGTGAATATACATTGTTTTACATTTTCTTTCACTTTGATATGGAAACTCATTCCTCTGGATATGAAGGCACATGACAGCAGAATGTAAACATGAAGGTTTGAGAATAAGTTAAGAAAGTAAGTTTAAGAAAAGTTTTTTTTAGTTTATGGATCTGTGGGTCTACTGTCGAAAAATCATTTCTTGTCCCTTATTGTGTATAAATAGACGAAAAGTGTGTTTCGAATGAGTATACTTGTAATTTATTTTTAAACGAATGATTAAGTTCTATATTTACTTAAAATTGTGTTTGGAGTAAATATACTGTGATTTTCTTTTTAAATAAATTATATTTACTAGTACATATAGAAATACATATTTTTTACTGAACAAGAAGTGTTAAGTTTAAACATTAAAAATACTTGTAATTTATTTTTAAATTAATTATTAATGTAAATATTTACTAGTAAATGAATCATTTTTCTTTTTTTAAATAAGTATATTTATTGAACAAAAAATGTATTTGGAGTAAATATACTTAAATAAATGTATATATTTACTAAAAAAATCTATAAGTGAATCATTTATTTAAAAATAAAATACAAGTATATTTACTGAACTAAAAGTGTTTGGAGTAAACATACTTGTGATTTTGAGTTTGAAATAAATTATTTATTTTTATATTTACCAATAATTATATAAATAATTTAGTACTGCACAAAAAGTTTAAAATAAATATACTTGTGTTTTTTTTTAATAAATGTTTTTTTTTTTATATATATATATATATATATATTTACTAGTCAATATATAAATATATGAGGTAAGAATAGAAGAAAAGTGGAAAGCACTGCAAATAATTTTTAAAACTAAAACTGGTTATTGATGTCACCGATGCTGTTCATAGATCAAGATATCCAAAAATAGCCACTTTTGTATTATGTTTATAGATGCTAAACATTTCAAGAAATTCACACGGTTCGGAACGGCACGACAGCGAGTAAAATATGATTGCATTTTCATTTTAAAAATGAACGATTCCTTTAAAGTTGGAATATTTGCTTGAACTTAACAAATAAGCAGGGAAATGAACTGAATTATGACTGTAATAATAATAATATAATAATAATTCCACTGAAACAGTCCCTCCACTTCTAAAGCGAGTGGTAACGGAGAGGGCGGGACGAAAGGACATCGATGTGAGAAAGAGAATGAGTGTGTGTGTGTGTGTGTGTGACTGAAACGGCTTATTCTCGTGATCTCACAGGCCTCAGTGTAGATAAATATGCTTCTGTCTGCAGGCGTGGAGTTAATGAACGTTACATTGAGGAAACACGCCTCGCATCTCCTCAGCCTGGAGTTACACTAATTACAGCTATCAGTTACTCAGCAATCTCTCTCTCTCTCTCTCTCTCTGTGTGTGCCTGATGCCCACGTCAAACCCTTAAAACACACACACACACACACCCTATCTATCACAAACACATCTGGATGTGTTGCTTGTGCATGGAGATCTGCTTCTGCATCTGTCACACTCACGCTCGGTCGGTTCGAGGACTCTCATCGGATTAATTAACGTGTCTATTTATGGGACGAATCGCCCCGTTTGTTTGCGCTCGCATTGTGTAATTACACAGTTCTTGTTTGAAATGCCATTCGCAACCAATTCTGCTAATATAACGCAACGGATATGTTTAATGAGGAACAAAATGTTGTATTTATTCAGATTTAATGTGGCTGTGTAAAGTGTGCGTTTCAGATCAGACTGGCGTCGGCGCTCAGGGTGAGTTTGCAGTGGATTGTGGGAAATCTGCAACGCCAGCGGCGAACACTGTGAAAACGGAGATGAGCTTGACCTTCAGCCTCCACATTTCTCCCATGTATCCCAATGGTGATTATTATTTTCCAAATGTATCATTATTTGCCTTAGAACCCCTTCGACCTTCAATATTTACGTATATAACTATTTATATTATATATTATAAGTCCCCATGAGATTTGAAGTTCATATTCTAATATTGTGCATGTAATTACCATCATTTTGAAATGACAAAACGTGACTTTCTACACGTCTACGGCAGCATTATCAAGTACAAGTCGGAGCTCTCCGAAATTTCCCAGTTTATAAGTCGTAATTACGAGCTCTCGGCGACGACGACTCGCTGAAACCTCGTAATTCACCTGTAAAAAACCTCAAATCACCTGTAATTACGGTGATTACAATATGCGTGAGCAC